AGGTTGCTGAAGGGAATAAGCGATGGGGTTTGATGAAATAGCAGGCAGCATGAACCAATGGAAGTAGCATGGGGCTTTCCAAGTTCTTGTGTGGGACACAGCAAGCACCAAATTATTCAAGCAGGCAACACATCAAGAACAAGTAGAAATGTTATTTCATAGATCATGTAGATAAGCTGTGGACGTCTTAGTGAGAGGATGCTAAAATTTTACATAGATTCAAAAAAAAAAAAAAAAAAAAAAAAAAGACTGTTCCAGTTCACAGAATAGAAGCACATTGTGTTTTCTGTTTACTTAGAAACTAATCCACCTTAGGAAGTCTCTGAGTCGCAAATGACAGCGAGTACTAGGTAAACATGCAGTTGAACTTCTAAGGGTTATATGTAAGAAATACCAAAGTCTAAGATTATTCACAAGTTACATGAAGCTGGCCTAATGCTTTTTTCACCTTGAAATCTGTCAATTTTAATGGGTACTGCAGCAGACCAAGACTGCTTTGCCTTAACAGTTCGTGTTGTTCTCAGCAATAGTGTTTTCCTTCATTATAGCTGTTGGAAACGGCATTCATTTCAGGCAGGAGGAGAGGTCAGAACACTGCTCTGTCACAAGAAACCTGTTTGCTGTAGGGAAAGGCTCAGTGGTCTGGTGACAGCTCTCTCTCAGCTGGTGCTGAACTGGACAATGAGTGCTCTTGCAAAGGAAGGATTATCCTAAATTTCACCTCTCTTTGCTCAAGGTGCAAGATGTGTCTCCATCCTGCTTGCCTAAACACGTCACGGATGTGTGTCTGGCATGGCACTTTCATAATTACTGAATTGCCTTCAGAACAAGATGTGCCCTGTAAGCGCTCCTTGCCCTGCAGAGCAGGTGAGAGCGCGAGCATTGTTTGGCTGCTCGTGGTCTTTGGAGGGCTCCTGGGCACATTTGGCTATGACAGGACTGCACATGGGGGGAGATGCTTGTGGAAGAGGATCCACGTGTTGCTGCTGAATTCCACAGTTTTACATTTGAACATGACATCTCTGCTATTCTCCAGGGTTGCTTTGTAGCGTTTTTATTTCAGTGATGTAAGGGCTGTCTTTTACTGCCAAGCCCATAATTAAAGCAGTGTTGACTGGTAAGTAATGGGCTGCAAAATGTGTACCAGGAGATAATTAAAGATGCACTCTAGATAAGCGAGGCATGAACATCCTTTTTATGAGGTGTTAATGTCTGAAGACCAACTAGTGAAATTGATCTTGCCTCCTTCAGGATGAAAGTTCTTCTTAAATATCAATAGCATGGTACTGCCCTGGAAAATGTTTGATGTAGGGATTTGTAGGGGTCTGTGCTTGTCCAAAGACTCCTCAGGCAGGCGCCTGGCGGCTGGGCCCATGCTGCACTCGGTACTTGGGCATCGCGTTTGTGCTTGCACGATTCTGGGGCCTCCTTCGCATCTCCTCACACCAGGGCTGCTCAGGAGGGAGAAAGGAGAGGGGCTTCTTGTTCCTTGATCTGTGCTAGGATAGATGCAAACCCTTTTCAGAGCCATTTTAAAGAGCACTGTGGCTAGTGCTAATCATTTCGTTGCCTTTCCTAGATGTCTGTTACATAGTGGTTTTGTTGTTGTTGTTGTTTTGTGTTTTTTTGTTTGTTTGAGCAATATTTTCGGTACATTCCATGTGTGATTTTAATTCCTCTGTAGATACAGTTATGGTATAACTCTGACATAAAGGGGCATTGGCAGAGGACATGGTGGGTTTCCACGTTTAGACCCTACTGAAATCTGCAGCAAAGTTGTGTGGGCATTGGTGGGAGCCTGAAGACAACCTGTAATCCAAGTATGATCTGAAGAGATACAGTTTTTAAGCATACTGCTTTCTGTATTCCTGCATCTTACTCCACGTTTCTCCCGTTCCCCTTTTTTCACTGCTGTTGGCATTTATTTTACAGTCCTTTGTGAAATGAATAAAAAATACAGGAGAGGAAAAAAAAAAAAAAAAAGAGAGAGCATTTCCCCTTGATATGGTTGATATGGAAGAGATGGGGAGGCTCACAGACAGTTGTTTTGGTTATGACACATGCAGCAGCCAAGGGAACATGGTCAGCAAGGGCTGGTCGGTGCCTGGCTCAGAGCATGGCCAAACTGTCACTAGCAGAAATTAGCTCTTAGGCCAAGTCCGTGTGCCAGAGCAGAAGAGGGGGAAGAGGAGGGGGAGGCAAAGATTGCCATCTTGTTTCCTGGAATCTCACTTAAAAACAAACTCACAATCTAAGTCTCTATCAATTAGCATTGCAAAGAAAATCTCTGTAAATGAAGGGTGTAAAGAGGCTGCCTGGCAGAGCGCCTGGAACAATAACTCCGGGAAGTGTGAACTGCTCTCTCCATAGCCAGGGGATGTTAACAAAAGCCCGCTCTGTTTGACCTAGCTAGCAGCGATGGACACTCGCTGTTAGCAAGTAGTGCAAGTCGCTGCAAGCCCCAGCAGTTCTCCTCTGATGACTCCTCCTTATCTCTTCTCTGCTGTCTGTCTGTAAGGGGTGCGTGTGTGTGCTGGGGGAGATCACCGCTCCTCTCCAGACCAATGTTGCAGGCTGCCTGCAGGGTCGGCTTTGTGTTGTACTTATGAGGTGACGCTTTCAGACCTTTTCTGCCAGAAAAAATGGAAAGCCAGAAAGGGAAAATTATTATTATTATCATTATTAATATTTGCCTTCTCCGTGGCATCATTTTCACTGTGGCCAGACTGTATGAGTTAGCTCTCTTTGTACCTGGCAAATGATTCCGTACCATTCCCTGATCTGATCCATTATGCACCCCACTGGAGAGATGAAATGCGGAGAGATGGAAGGGTCATATGCAATTCCATGCTTCCCTCGGCCAGTTTAAAGCAGAGCTCCCCAGTTCTACTTTTCTCTCTGCACCTGTGCATCCCCCTCCCTTTTTGGTGCCTGAATTAAGCTAGCCAAGAACTAACTTGGCCAAAAAAGTGATCGGTTTTTGGATGGAGTAGCTCTGTGAGTTGGTGCACTTTCTAGTCAAGCACGCACTGGAGCTGGCACGTGCAGGACTCTGTGTGAAGCTTTGTGGGGGCTTAAAGGCGAGTAGAATTGCATCCTGTGTGATCAGAACAAGGAGTAGTAGCTGGGTTTGCTGTGGAGAAGATTGTCCATAAAATTGTTGTAAAGCTCTGTAAATTTGCCTGTTGTGTCTGAACCTTAATCTACCTCTCCCTAAATGCGTATCTGAATATTAAAAGTGAACTAAAATTTCAGGGTTAGCAGCATACCTTGCAGTACCTAGAACTGCCAAACCATTTGCTGCCCTGGTTTTCCCTTTTCTCCCACATGCAAATTCTTGGCTATATGAAAAATTGTGTCCTGGTCTCTGAACCATCCTGGAACTCTGAGAGAGAAATCAATTCCTTGTGGAATGTGTGTGTGCTGTGACAGTCCATGCTTATGAGAATTATATGGGAAGGAGAAGTGAGAAATTGTTTCAAGGTGTTTCTTCCAGATGTCCTGGACTACACACTGCTGTCATCCCTCTGAAATTGTCACTGCCATCATATACACTTCTGCTAGAAAGTATTCTTTACATTTATACGCATTTATATTTAAATGTATTTTATTGTAATATATAATATTGCAATATAATTATTGTGTTGTTATTATTGTATTATTGTTTCTGAGGGTATTTGTCTTGCTTTATGGACAGAGGTGATAAAAAAGAACTTAGCCTCTGGAGTAGCAGACTCACAGGGGCGGATTGTCATCTCTGGCATTGTCTGGCAGAGTATTCCTTGTTGTTGTGAATGACTGTGGTGGTGTGCCTCACGTTAAAAGCCTTGTCCAGCTCAGTTGAGAAGTGGCTGCCTGGATCACAGGTGCGGTGGTCCCTGCAGAATGCAAATACATAATAGCTCATGCTTTGTTCTTGTACCCTTAAGCTTCGCAGCAAGCTGGAGCAGGTCCCAAAGCTGAAAAATGACTGGGGATGTGTTGAGACAACAGACACATGAAGTAATGATGCTGTTGCTCTTGAACTCCTTCAGTGATAGCCTTTAATGGCCTCATTTGACAAATTATTACATTAACTAATTGATTTGCTGCCGTTCTAATCCTGTTTTAACATCTAATCCCTTTTGGCATAGCAACTGTTGCTCCCTGTAAACCCTTATGTCACACTTGGCTCTCTAAAAATATTTCTGGCCCCTCATTTGCATTAGTACTTTGGTCATGACCTCACCTTGGACTGAAACACAGAGCTTGCTTGTTCTGTGCATGACTTGGATGCGTGAAGCTGTCTGGAGGAGGATGAGAAGCCTCAAGGAGGCTTCTCATCCTCCTCCAGAGGATGGGCATGAGGGCATTAGTTATGCTGAGCTCTTCCACAGGCACACGGGAGGGAAATTTTTCTTTCACTCCGCACAGAGCACTGCAGAGAGTGCCGGGGGGAACTTGGTGTTGGTGGTGGGTTCTGGTGTGGTGTCTGGCAAAGCCACCAGCATTTTGCTTGCCCCAGTTAAGTCAGTGAGAAGTTTCCCACTGCCAGGAACAGGAGTGGAGTTGTATAACCAAACGGGGAAGACGGGGACCTGTAACGGGGATGGTGACAATAAGGGAAGGGACGGTTTCCCCTTGGGCAGGGGGTGATGTGGGGCACCCATATTCCTTAGCTGGGGAGACATCCCGAGTGCTTTGGGGAGCTCTGGGTTTCCAGGAAAGGCCCGGCCCTGCCGGAGGGCAAAAGCAGCCTTTTCAGGAGGCCGAGCTGAAGTAAAAGGGAAATTATTGCCCTTCCACTTGAATTAAAAAAAAAAGAAAGTGGGTGGGTGTGTGGCGGCGGCGGGGGCTTCGCCGGGAGACGCTTTGGCTCCTGCGTTGGGGCGAGCCCTCGCGGTGTGTATTTTGGTGATGGGATGACAATGGAGGTGTGGGAGACGGCTCTGAGTCACCCCGGGGCAGGCCCGGGCGGGTGGGGGGCGCCGAGGGCCGGGGCGGAGGGCTCATAAGGCGGGCGGCGGGCCCGGGCCCCGCAGAGCTCGGCCCTGCATGGAGCCCGCCAGCCCCCGGCCCGAGGCCCCGCGGGAGGGCGGCCGCAGGAAGCGCACGTCCTTCAGCAAGGCGCAGCTGGAGCTGCTGGTCCGCGCCTTCGAGAAGCAGCCGTACCCCGGCATCGCGCTGCGCGAGCAGCTCGCCGGCCTCACCGACATCCCCGAGGCCAGGATCCAGGTAGGAGAGCCGGAGGGCGCCCTCCCTGCCCGCCCCGGCCCCCCGTGCTGGGCAGCGGGGAGGCAGCCGGGCGGCGCGGGGTCCCCGGGGTGTCCCCCGGTGGCAGTGCCTTTCGCCGCGTTTCGGCAGAGCGCTCCTGGCAGCGGCAGGAGGCCGGGTTAACGCCTGCTCAACCTTCACAGGTCTGGTTCCAGAACAGGAGGGCCCGGCAGCTGAACCGCAAGAAGGGCGAAGCCGCCCTCCAGCCCAAACCCGTGTCCGGCAAGGAGGAGCGGAGCCACGGCGGCTGCCAGCAGCGCTGCCGAGGGGCCCTGGGGCTGGGGCCCGACCCCGGCCTCCTCGGTCTGCAGCCCGGGCTGCCGGGGGGCGGCCTGAGCTTCGGGCAGCCCTGTGCGGGGCAGCAGTACTCCAGGCTCGATGCGCATTTCAGGAGCTTGGATAACGCGTTTGGAGGCTTCACCCAGACCCCGTCTCACTTCAGCACGGATTACGTGGGAAAAGGGGTCCAGTTCGGTGCGGGAGCCGTAGGGAGTGCTCCTCAGCTCTCGCTCCCTGTCCCGCAAGTGCAGGACTATCCCTACTGGAAGAAATCTTTCCCTGAAAACTACTACGCAGATGCAGATGTTCTCCAGCCATGTACAGAAGATTACCAGTATCTGTCAGCTAAAGAGAACATGTATAGGAGGCCTGTCTCAAACTACCTCAGTGCTGACCAAGGCCTGGTCAATGAGAACTGTTTGTATATGAAGCCAGACACTTCCCCCTTCGGTAAGGGTTCCACTCTGAGTTACAGTGAAGGGGAATCTACGCTCGAGCTTAAGCAGATGAGGCACAGCCCACCTGTGGTTGCAGCGAGTGATGCTAGTCCTCCTTTGGTACCTGCAAAACATGAAGGGAGATACCCAGGGACTGCTCCAGCCCCGTCATATGGGCAGCAGCTGCTGGAGACAGTAAATGACTATGACTCTCATTGGCTGGGTGTAAGAAATGAAATCTGGGGGAATGGCTTAGACGCAGTGTTTGAGAATGAGCAAAATGGGGAGCAAGGGCCTAAAAGTTATCTTTTTGCTTTGGGTGGCCAGAGTTCAACCTGTCATTTGGGTCACACATGAAACTGTGACAGCGAGTCTGCCCCTTGAAAGATGAGTGATTTTTGTTCAATTTGCAGTGCCATCTAAATTGGCTAGAGGTTTTGCAGGTCAAAGGGTGGAGTGCTTGCTGTGAGATGTGTGTGCTGTCTGGAAGGGAAAGAAAGATAAACACAATTAGCAAGGTATACAAGAGATGACTTGCTGAATGTGTACTGCTGCCCCTTCCCAGCCCCGTTCTGCTGCGATTGCCACCAAGCTGCCTGCAGAGGAATTCCTGTATGCATTTGTTTTTTGGTAGCTTCCTTAACCTATATGTACAGACTGATCTTCACAAATACATCTGTACGGAGACTTAGCCATCCAATGCTCAGACTGTGTGGGATTAATTCTGCCAGGAGGCTTGAGACTATGGAATTGGGTTTGTAGCCTTGCTGTACAAGGTTTTCTTTTTACCTGGGTCTGAATCCACTTTCTTTAACTTAAGAACTTGCAGAAAACAGACTTTATTTACAGCCTCTAATGGAGAAGGCATTTACACAAAACGGGTATGCACATGGCAAGAACAATCTGGGTGGTGGCAGGGAATGGCTCACGGGGTGTATTTGAGTTTTAGGTGTGCTTCTGATAAAGGACACTCCTGGCCTTTTTCTAGATACTTAATGTATAGTGTTTTCATTTAAAAATGACCAAATTTGTAGCCTTCTAAAAGGCAATATTTTTGTGGTGTCCCGCTGTATAATTTTTTCAAATTGTATGATTGTTATTATTTTAAAGGAATGGTGTTAATTTAATTTAAAAAAAAAATTCTCCTTACCAAATGAAGGCTTTCTACCAGGGCGATAATGAACTTGTGGAACTGCAGTCACACAAAGATGTAATTGTGTTCCTGCTTTGCACTTCATGCAGTGGGCCTGTTGTTAGACTCGTTGAGCTCCATGGCTGTCTGGAAGACCACTGTATTCACAAAAAATACTCTGATGAAATTAATGGGAGGGATGTACAGCTCTGGAGGGCTTCTGCGGTTGTGTTGAAGCATTATCAGGCCTAGGGTGTTGAAAACTATACATGCAAATCCTTTTCTTTGTACAAGTGTACGGAGATTTTAACACATACACTGTTAACTCCCTTTTTTATAGAACAAAATAAATATAATAAAATGAAACAAACACAGGTGGTTATTTTATGAATAAAATCGCTGTTTCTGTGAAGAAGCTGTCTAGCGAATGTGTACACAAGAAGCCTGGACTATTAGTCCTGATTTTTGTCAGTAATTTATAATTGACTTCTTCACGGCCACGGCTAACTTTTCTGCCTTGACCTGAAGAACCGGAGCGCTCTCCTGTCCCGTGGAAGCGCTACAGCTTCATCCAGTCACTCAAGGCCCTCTGAACACACACAATCCTAAAGAGAAACACCGAAACGAAGTGCCGGGCCGACAGGTCTACCCCTGCCCTCCAGGCCGACAGGTCTACCCGTCTCCCCGCCCACCCCACGGTGCGACGGCGAAAGGGCTCCGCTGGCAGCCCGGAACGCGAGGCTCAGCCGCTGCTTTCGGGGGAGAAGGGACGCGGCAGCGCGGCGCTGGGAGCGGAGGCAGGGGGCAGGTGGGCGCCGCGCTCCCCGGGAGCCCCGGGGCCGGTGGTGGGCGCGGGTGTCCGGGCGGGACGGGAGGGACGGGAGGCGGCCGCCGCCTGGAGCGGGCCCCGTGGCGCTGCCGGGGGGGTGGGGGGGCCGCGCTGCTACACGTGGGGTAATGGCTGCGCTTCCTGCGCCGCGCACAGGAGCCGGCTGCGAGTGGGCTGCTGCCGAGCGGGGAGATGGAGGAGAAGGAGAAGGAGAAGAAGAAGCACCGTGCGAAGCACAGCGGGCCGAAGGCGGAGAAGAAAAGGAAACGGTACCTCAATGAGCTAGGAATAGGGGACGAGGAGGATGCTCGGAAAAGAAACCCCAAAGCCTTCACGGTGCAGTCCGCGGTGCGGATGGCCAGAACTTTCCACAGGTAAGGAACAGGGGTACATATATATTTGTATATATAAGGAACAGGAATATGTATACGGTGTACAACGTGCTGAGTTAGGCGGCTGGATGGACGTTGGCTGGGGTTTCTGTACTCCTTTGAGTAGAAATGCACACAGTGTAACTCTCACTGGTGTGCTCATGAAGCTTTCACCATGTCCAAGGCTGTGTTGTAACTTACACGTGTGTCACCTGTGCAGTGCTTTCTGTATCTGTGTCAGGTGCTGCAGGTGTGCTACTTGAAATGGAAAGCACAAAATCTGGGTAGCTCTTCAGATTGTCGGAGTTCCACATGGACGGTAGCAGCCAGGCGCCTGTTGAAACTCCATGTTTGGATTTTTGCATCTGCTGAAGACTTTCAAAAAGAAACATTACTGAATTGTATTTTTTTTTTCTGTTTGTTATAAATTTATTTTCAGAACTCAGGATTTGAAGACTAAAAAACATCACATCCCTGTGGTTGACCGTACTCCTTTGGAGCCACCTCCTGTGGTGGTGGTTGTTGTTGGCCCTCCCAAGGTTGGAAAGAGCACTTTAATAAAATGTCTCATTAAGAACTTCACAAGGCAAAAATTAGTTGAAATCCGGGGCCCTGTTACAATTGTTTCAGGTGAGAACAAAGATACAAGAAATTGAAATGCTTATTTTACACTCCTTAATTGTCTTACTTTTATAGGGCTAGGATGTGTTCACATTCTCATAATTTTTGGTCATGTTGAAGAAATCATTTGGGTGTGTTACCAGGCATGCTCGCTAACAGAATAGTGAGACTAGGGCTTTTGCCCTTCTAGACTTGTACTTTCCACCCTGCTAGGTTCCCAGTTCTCTTTTTTCTTTCTGGCCTTTTGTCTGGTTTTTCCATCCCCAAATATTTTTCCTAGTTTTAATTTTCTACTGGGTTCTCTTTTCCCTCTTGAACTGTTTTTCTCTAGCTTTATCTTAGCCTCTACATGCATTTCTCATTCTTTAAGGTTCCCCGTCTTACAGTCTCATTTTTGTTTACCTTTCTTTTTTAGATCAAGAGTTAATTTGCTTAGCCATTTCCAGTTATGTTTCTCCACCTCACCCCCTAGTCGTTTCCATTTCTTTTTTGTGAAGTTTTCAGTCCCAATTTTCCCTTGGCCTAGCCTGTTCTTTTCTTTACTTTTCTTGCATATTACCAGTTGGGTCACTGAGGTCCTAGGAGGAGCATGTCAGCAAAAGAATTTTTACAGATCTTGTTTGGATCTATACAGCCATGTTTGGTGTAGGTAGACTCCACAGATTTAAATTAATAAATCTGTGCAGCATTGAAACAGGCTGCCCAGGGAAGTGGTTGAGTCACCATCCTGGGAGGACTTCAGGAAAGATGTAGATATAGAACTCTGTAGCATGGTTTAGTGGTGGAATTGTCAGTACTAGGTTAAAGGCTGGACTAGATGATTTTAGCGATCTCTTCTAACATGAACCATTCTGTAATTCTGTGATCTGGTATTTGCAAGGAATAATTGACGAATATGGAAAAGGGAAAAATGTGTTAAATTGGATTTCTTTGTTGGTCTATTGGGACTCAGGGACTGAAATTTGGTAACTTTAGACAATAGTTATTTCAAGATGTCATTCTTGTTGTCTAAAGTTTCATTAGACAACTCTGGTTAGTCGGGTCAAATTAACTCTGGATACTTTCTTCTAATTGAGGTGCATGTTAAGAAATCTTTCTTACCCTCCACTCTTTTTTTTTTTTTTTTTTAACTGTATCAGGGTGTAGTTTTGTCCTTTTGATATTACCAGGAAAAAAGTATATGTAAAATGAAGTCCTTGGTACTAACTCTGGGTTACTAAGGATAAGCAGAGGTTTTCTTCAAAGTAAAAACAAACAAAAAGAAAACAACCTTTTTTGCTATTAGTATTGTTTTTGGAAAAGGCAGGACAACGTCTTTGAAACCATGTACTCAACCTGATAATTTTAAACTAAAAGGTTAAAATTTAGCAGAACTAAAAGCGTACGTTAACAGGCACTTGACAAATGTGACATTGTTCAGTCTATATGTTAGACAAGAATGTGAGTCCCAGATACTATTTAGGAACTTAAGGAGTATAAATTGAAAAGCAAGCTGTGGAGTAATTAATTTGCTTTCTGTTTCAGTTTTTGGTTCTTCTTAATCTTGTTTTCAGGTAAAAAACGCAGGCTAACTATTATTGAATGTGGATGTGACATTAACACAATGATTGACCTGGCTAAAGTTGCTGATTTGGTAAGTTAACAATAGATGGTCATTTTAATAAAAATAAATATTGAAAGTACTTCTTTTGACTGGACTGTACCAAGAGTTTCTTTGATGCAATCTGATGTCTGTCTTTGAAGGCTGCTGTGCAGTTATGTGGTTGATTTCAGTGAAATGTGATCACCTTTGTAACTTCTGGTCAAATTTATTAAGTCTGTTCGTAGTGAGGACCTGATGCACAGTCCATGTATCTGTGTAGAATTTGGTGTACATTGAGCGTTCATAGCCGATAGGGCTTGAGATCCTTAGCTAAATACTGACTGAATTCAAGTACATACAATAGTCCAGATACTGTTCTATCTGCATGTTTTCTACTTGAGGAAGTGAAATGTATTAAAAACGATCTGTCAGAAAGTAGATGTGACATGTTTAAGATGCTGAATGCACACAATAATGCTGTGAATGTATTTGGGCTTATTGTTAGGAGGCTGAGATTACATAATAACTCGCCGACCTTTTTCATTATTTGCCATGCATTTTAAGTTCTTCATTGCTGAGGACCTAACATGGCTTTGCTTCCGTTTTCATGTTACTTTGGGTGCCATTTTCTTGTGTCAGTCTATTTGAGCGATGCACAACAGTTACTACAGTGTGTGAAGAAAGCTTGCTTGTCTTGCTTTACCAAAACACTCTGCCTTAGAGGTCTTAATGAATCTAAGACAAAGATACCAACAGCTGAGGGATAACTTAATTTTATCAGTCACTCCTGCCAATATTGGAGGGTTTTCTATTTTTCATTTTTAAAATTTGCCAAGTAGATACCCATTTGGGCCTTAGTGTAATAGTGTATATTATTGTATTCATAGGGCAGCTGTGTTCTTTCATAGTTCTATTCGAGAGAGTGTGCAAATGAGATCTTTGCAAAGATTTGATTGACTGGAAAAGCTGATCTGATTTCCTAACTGAACTAAATTCTGAAGCGGTTAAAATGCATAGTGTAATTAAAAAGACCAAGTTGGTTTTCAGGTTATATGAAAATACATAACAAAACTTTTTCAAGGTTTTGGTTCTGAAGAAGGTTATGACTTTAATGGCTTGGTCTTTGAAATTAGCTCATATAGGTATCGTGGTGGTCTTCCAGTGAAACGATGATCTTGTGTCTTTCAGGTTCTGATGCTCATTGATGCCAGCTTTGGATTTGAGATGGAAACATTTGAATTCCTGAACATTTGTCAGGTACATGGCTTTCCCAAAATTATGGGAATTCTTACCCACCTGGATACATTCAAGAACAACAAACAATTAAAGAAGACAAAAAAGAAGTTAAAGCACAGATTCTGGACTGAAGTATATCCGGTATGACATCCAGCATTCGTTTTCTGTATATTGTGCATTAAATTAGGCTGAATTAAGACTAAAGCAATACTTAAAAAAAAACTATGGCATTGTTAAAATCTCTTTGATAATACTCTAAATGGACAGTTTTGATATTATATCAGATAATGTGATCTTCTATTTACTGAAATACTTGGATAATTATTCTGTGTCCCAAGCTATTAAACGTGTTCTACCAATAAAAAGGTCTGTTACACAGGTATTATGCAAGGGGGATTGTTCAATTCAAGGGGGATTGTTCTTGTTCAATTCAGGAGACAAACTGAACCTTTGGACCGTTTTTTTCTTTCACTATCAGTTGTCTTTTCCTAAGATTTAGGGGGCAGTTTTCATGTTGAAATAAGCTAATTAATTTGATCTTTTGGAATCCATTTTAAATTGCAATTTACATTTATAATTTACGAACTAGAATTCCATTGGCTTTTTCAGTTTTGCAGGTATTAAAATGATATTTAATGGTTTTATGTCTTTTTAATGTGTTTAGGGTGCTAAGCTGTTCTATCTGTCTGGGATGGTTCACGGAGAATATCAAAAGCAGGAAATTCACAACTTG